AGATGATTAATCAATTAATCAAACAAATTACCATACATCCAAAAAAAATAAAAAAATCACAGCAGTGGCAGCCCTAATACAGAGGTTACAGTAGAAATACTCAACATTTGAACTATTGTTTAGTTGTTAATATCCAAAATCCACCCAACGACTGCAGTATGCAATCATAAATAGACCTTTTTACAACACAAAAAGCAGAAGTGTTATCAAAAACATGAGCAATGGCTCTGTTCCATTCAAGTGTTCCAGTAAGCTGTTCACACTATATAATAATTCTATACAGTATACTACACGCTAATCGGCTTAGTAAACTAATAAAGCAGTTAGTATACAAAAAGAAAAAAGAAAAATCTACATACTTTACCATTTTATTCTAACAGGAAACAATTCGATGTGTAACAACCGACGTCAATCAAACTGTGACTCGGGAATGTCACTGCTAATTAAACCTCACGCAGACAAAGCAAAGTGTCTCTCTTAAGATTTAATACTTTTCACAAGTTCCAGCTGTGAGAAGCTCCTCCATTTCTTATGTTCGTTCCATTGTGGGAGAACAGTGTCCATCGACAGCACAGAAAATCAACTGTATTTAGTATGTATACTGTGTGGTCTAAGTATAGTTAAAAACTGTTTAGACTTAGTATGTAGTATGGATTTGGGACATGCAAAGTGTGACAGTGAACCAACATCCATGCACAATACCAGGACTCTCAAACCAAAGCAGGAAGAGGAATTGAGGCATCATTTACTTTATTATTTACACACGTGCTTTGCCTACTGTGACATGTGTGACCTTGTGACCCTCAGTTTAATTGCAGAAACATACTGAAACATCACAAATCCTACAGCATTATAACATATTAAATACGTTCCATAAACTAAACAGGGACAAAGGTTTGTCTAACAGAAAACCTTTTTTCATGCATGAAACTTATTTACCTGAATGACAGTTAAATAGTCACAGGTCAAGGATGTACAATCTCATAATTAAACAAATACCTTAAGCGGCAATTCATCAGTGAATTTCTACACTAACATCCATATAGTCGAGATTGTCATATTCTAAAGGCTAAGAATAAAGTAGTGTATTGGGCCAATAGATTTAATCAATGCAACGCCTGTAAAAAGTGAATATAGACATATTAATAAAAGCTTAATACTCAGCTCCAGAATACACTAACTGGAGTAGGTATTCATCTGATAGATAGAGCCCTCCACGTAACCGACCTTTTAGAGAAAGATTCACACAAGTTATAAGATTGGTTATTAGTTCATCGTTCAGTCCCATTGGAGGCAGGGTCTGTAAAGGGAATATCCAGAATGCCTCCCTTGTTTTTAATAACAAGCCGTGATCTCCGCCCCTGGGTGGCATTGAAACTCATTCAATCCAACAAAAGTCGTGGGAGAGCACACCATGTTTCACCTCATTAAAATGGGTTACTAATGGTTGGTCGCTGTCCCCCGTACTGTCTGTAGATCACACCCTTTAACTTTCTTAAGAAATTTACTTTTTATAATCACTTGATTGTTGAATATATGCACTGATTAAATATATTGGTCCTCTGCACTATGTTATTCGTAGCCTTTACAATGTGCCCATTTTAATTATATTGATGTTACTGTAGAAATTCACTGATGAATTGGTAATTATGATATTTGTTTATTCATGAGATTATACATCCTTGACCTGTGACTAGTGGGCCATTTGGGAGTTGATACGTTTAAATTAAAAACGTTTAATGAATAGATTTAACTTAACGCTGTAGGATTTGTGATGTTTCAGTATGTTTTCTCTTAAATTCACTTGACAGTTTGTAGTTTTTGGATGTTGTGTAAGATTTATTGGCATTATTGTATTGAGCAATCTTTCTGTTTTTTGTGTTCTTTTAGTGCTATTGTCTAACTGGTGACATATGTGCTGTGAGTGGTTCAACATGATCACCTGTCAAACTCACCATTGTAGTCCTCTGACTGGACAAATAAATGACTGAGGCAGCTCCTATATGTGTATATATGTATGAAAGTGTTGTCATGCTGCCCATAAAGCTGATGTGACCTTCAACAGACCGAAACGTCATAAATAATAAAATATTCTCTGAACTTCCTTCCAGCAGTAAGTGAAACAGTGTGCCGGGAGTTCCTCATTGTTTTCAAGTTGTGCCTTCCTCCGTCGTACCTGTCACACATTCAGGTGTTATCTTCTATATACTACTGTGACATGTCTTTTGTAAAAGAGGCCCATTGGCCTTCTCTGTCTATGAAGTCCTCCTGCCAAGACTCCCAAAAATGTAGAATTTATTTGTGCGTACATTTTATTCAGGAGTGTATGGGTATTAATCATGAACAAAGCGTCACTACTTTCAGCCCAAATCATCACAATTTATTTCATTATATGAAAAACAAAAATCAGCACATAGATGGCGGCCTTAATTTTCAAGAGTCCTTGAAGGGAAACCAAAAAAGCATTGTTTTAAGCACATCTAAATCTACACATCTTAGAAGATAATGTATACTAAAAAGTGACTGTATGCTAAAACAAAACAGACATTTCAGCAGACAGAAAAACTATTTTCAGCAGAAAGAGGAATTATGGAAACCCACAGACTTATCTTATTAAATCTTACTAAATCAGCTTTGGCATCTTTGTGGGAGCACTCTGTGAAATCAGCCTGTCAGTATTACACTATATAAAGCAGAAAATAAAGTGATCCAAGACCAAGTAGGACCAACCTCAATTGTCTCTCTCAAAGTTATTCAGAAAATCTTAACAGTGATTAATTCAAATATTTCACTTTTAAATTAATACCATTTCAGATATGCTCCCAAAAGTAACCATTTAATTGAAAAATATGTTTAAAACAAATAAATCATGAACCAAGAGTCGTACCTTTAATCTGATAAATAATTAACAGTATTTTAAATAATTGAAATGCAAAGTCAACAAAACTTCAAATCACAAGGCTATAAGTTGTGGGATTGCAATATTCTAAAAAAAGATAACTAAGCCAAGATCTTTATTTCTCAAGCTCCATGGGCCAACATTACCTTTTACAATCCTCAAATTCATTTTTAAAACCTGTGTCCAACCCCACAGCCTACACAGTAAACAGCCAGAGGCGATTCACTGAAAGGTGAGATGCTGCTTTCTTGCTCAAACTCAGGCCCGAGCTGGAGGGCCGTGAAATATGTATGGATATTTACCAAGACTACAACCCGCTGACAGATGGATGAGGAGTTTTGTACACAATAGTAAGGCAAATGAAGAAGAAGTGCGGCTTGGCAAATCATTTTTTACTTAATTTTTTTTTTTTTTTTGCGGTGATTGACAGGCAACCTTTTGCCACAAACACTCAAAGGTGGAAAAATGGCAATCATGTTTCATGGAACAAGGCCTAACATTTCACTGTATTCTTATCCAAATATTGCTTGAACATTAGGTTTTGGGGGGATGGTAACATAAATATATAAACACACGTTCATTTGATTGTTACATGAATGAAGACAGTCAAGGACAGTTTTTCCACATGCCCTGGCCATTATCAGCAATTGTGCACATGTGAAATAGAGAGATACAACAACAGCGATGACAAAAGCCCTTTGTCTGGAGCTATATTAATGTATTAAATAGAGGGCTGTCAAACCGAGGGGAAAATTCAGCCACTTCAGGAAGAAGAGCCAGAGGGACTTAAGAAAGGAAAGAAGAAAAACCTTAATGAGAAGGATGGGAATTGAAATTCAACTGTAAACTATTCTGTTGGTGGCAGAAGACATTGAACAACTACTTATGGTTGTAATGCGTTTCCTGGCTTTGTACATATTCATATGGGCTTACTCTGACACAGTCAACAGATGGCGAGAGGAAGCAATGTGGAATTACACTGTCGAATGGGCTGCCACGAATCTTCAAAGATGCCAATTCCAAACCAGAAATATTCAGTCAGGCGAGTTTTTGTGAGAGGCAGTGTCCTTTGAAAAACCAATGAGCAAGTCCAGAGAAAGAGATACATGTTCCAAGTACGGGTTGGAAGCAATTTTTAGCATTCAAAACTGAAAACAAACTACTAGCAGCAGTCAACTAGTTGTGGACAACACAATTCAACCAGCACCACCGCACTTACAGGGGTTCATTGCATATTTTCGGCTTTGTGCACTTACTGCTAATTCAAAAACATGCAGTAAATTTCACACTGCAAAACACGAGTGGAATTTAAAAAAGTCTGTTAAATTAAGATATGCTGTGCAGAACGACTCTTTCTCTCCCTCTACTTCCGACTTTGGTTTGTATTCACTGAGATAAAGCAACTCGAATGTATAAGATAGTATGTGCTTGGCAAAAACAGTGTTTGGTCTATGTAAATAAGTACAGGTACACCCACAGGGACAAAAAGGCTACTGTGTGATACTGGCACAACCATGGCTCAGTCATGATGTTTGTTTTTAAGCTCTACTTCAGCTCTATAGATGTAGCAGGGAAAACAGGTTGTGTGTATATCTGCTATGACATCTTGAATGAACATTACAAGCAAATCCAAAAAAAAGGAACTACACTCAGAAAAGATAACAGGTTGGGTAAAACAGGTGCACCATCACACACACTTTAATTGGAAATAAGTTATAATTCACAGTCAGTAATATGCAATAACTCCACTACAACAAAATGCTTGTCTGTAACAACATTTTTGATGTATAAATATAAATAAATATAGATGGATGGAACAGAAATGTAGCTTATTATTTAAAAGATAAAACCTTGTGCCACTATAGGCTCCTACCTGTGCGTACTGCACGAGTATCAGATTGTGCCTATTTATTATTAACACACTGAGCTTTAGTGTGTGCTTTGGTCAAAAGGTGCACCAATACATTATTTTGACCAATAAAGGATTTAACATCCGTCATCAGGTTGCAAGTTTAAATCAGATCAATCATCTCTGCATGTCGTCCCTCAACTGTCTCCCTCATTTATTGTCTTAATCCACCGTGTACTATGGACTTAACAAAAAGTTGTCGGTGAAAGATAATGTACAAGATATTGGTTGCAAAATACTCCGGTAACGAACATGTATCGATCCGATAAAGCTAATAATATACAACGGGAAATATTTTTGACCATACATGGCAAAGAAAAATCATTTACAGTTTGAACATGCCATTTTCGAGCTGCTGTGTGTTGTTTAAAAAGTTACGATACAGTACCCTCAAAGTGACACCAATACCAGTAGGGTACTTAATTTAAAACCCTTTTTACCACCACAGACTGTATGTAGATGCCAGCTGCAGACAATAATGGGCCAACCACATGTTGAAGTAAATCAATGAATGCTTGCAGTGACTGAAAACCACAGAAATAGTTCTTTTTATTTTCTAGATCTGGGTACAAAAAGGATTTAATGCAGGTATTGTTTAACTAGAGACGTTTCTACTTGGTACTGGGCTTATTTAAGGTATCGAGTACCGACATGCTGTACATCAAGCCCAGCCATGTGACTGCACTACATAAAGTGGCTGCATAATCCATGTGGTGAATACAGGAAAGAAATTCAAGCAAATCCAACAAAACAGAGTATGAAACAACACATATTGACTTGACTTGAACACTTAAAAGGTCCAGTGTGT